AATGACTTCTCCGTTTCTTTCGCTTCATCTATCGAAATCAATCATTCTGATGATTTCTTTTTCTATCTATCTATCCAAGTCGGTTCAAATGTATTTCATTGTGCTCTTACCTATCTCTCTAAGACATATATTTGGCTGTTAATGTGTAAATAAATCTAATATTCTATGTGTATTAAAAAGCTTTTTAAAAGACTTCGAAATGGAGCACTATTATATATGTAATGGAAGGAATGTAGAAATTACACACACACACATACATGCATATATATATATATATATATATATATATATATATATATATATATATATATATGGGTGTATATGTATATGTGAGTGTGTGTGTACTGTATGCAAATATATATATATATATATATATATATATATATATATATATATATGTGTGTGTGTGTGTATTGCATGCAAATGTCCAATGCAATAATCTTTAAATATCAGGCATACGCAGGAAATGTATTAATGATATGGTCTTGAGTGTAACTTATTTGCTTGCGTAGAGAATAAATAAAGTTTACTATACAAATATATATATATTTACACCATCTACAGGCACACACACACACACACATATATATATATATATATATATATATATATATATATATGAAATGGATTAAGTCATACAATTATTTAATATATTTTCTGTTTATACGTTATTTTATAGATACAATGTATTTAAAAAAAAAGCATTTACTTAACTACAATCATAACATTTAAAAGATATATATCTATATATAAATATCTATATATACCTATATATATATATATATATATATATATATATATATATATATATATATATATATATATATATATATATATATATATATATATATATATATTTTTAAAACAAAACATATATATATATGGTTAAAAAGACAAACATATATATATATATATATATATATATATATATATATATATATATATATAAGACATCTTAGCCAACGTTTCGTCCTCTGATGGACTTAACAAGGCAAAATTTTTGTCAATAGAGGATTAAGCGCGTCGACTAAGATAAGTCTTCATGTTGTCTTTATTCACAGTTTTCTTGCAGATTTATATTTTAGTTATAAATGAAATTTTACGCAAATTCACGGACACTTATACACACACACACACACACACATATATATATATATATATATATATATATATATATATATATATATACACGCTAATATTGTTCACATTATTTTATCATATATATATATATATATATACACACACTTATATATATACACATATGTACAACCATCCCAAAAATGTACACATTCTTTTAGTTTACATTTTTAAAGCGTGTATACATTTTGATGACACCCTGTATATATATATATATATATATATATATATATATATATATATATATATATATGACAGCTTCGTTAAATTTAATCACCCATCTCGACCAAAAACGCTAATATTGTTCACATTATTTTTATCATATATATATATATATATATATATATATATATATATATATATATATAAATTGCACACTATTTAGTGTGAACACACTCTCACTCTCCCTCTGTCTTTCTGTCTCTCTCTTTCTTTATATATATATATATATATATATATATATTGATATATATATATATATATATATATATATAGTATTATTTGTTTTCATACAAATCTACTTTTAGTTTTCTATCTAAATTTATTTCTTTTGTATTACATGATTTCTTAAATTTCTATAACTTTTCTCACTGTCTCTACCTCTCTCTTTCTCTCTCTCTCTTTTTTTTCTTTTTTTTTCTACTCTCTGCTCTCACTATTACTCACTTCTCAATCTCTCTACCCCCTTCCTCTCTCTTTCTCTCTCTCTCTCTCTTCTTTTGTTCCCCCTTTTCCTCTACTCTCTCCTCTCCCTATTAATCACTTCTCAATCTCTCTACCCCCTTCCTCTTTCTTTGTCTCTCTCTTTCTTTTCACTCTCTCTCTCTCTCTCTCTCTCTCTCTCTCTCTCTCTCTCCTCCTATTTTCGAATTCTTTCTTTTCTCCACACACCAAAGTACCCACTGACTCCATCATTAATTTGAGCAGGCCCATTCCCAGAGAAACATTTACAGATCAACCATCACCGCCACCTGTTTCCTCTCCACCCCGAAACCTCCGTCCCAGCATCGGACTCGGCTCCTTTGCATCACTTACTGCGCTCATCAGGAGAAACCTGGGGAGCGATGCGCTGGCGCAAAAACGCTGGGAAATGTAGAGAGAGAGAGAGAGAGAGGTGGGGGGGGGAACAGAAGAAAGATAGAAACAGGAAGGAGAAAGAGGAGTTTTTTACACACGCGCGCAGAGAGAGAGAGAGAGAGAGAGAGCGAGAGAGAGAAACACATTAACACGGACGCACAGAGAGACGCACGCACAGAAATGGAAACACGTAAGTTGTATACCTTGCTTGACTGTCGGCTGCTGCTATATAAAATTGTGTTAATATATTCACTATGTTATTCTATCGAAGCTGAGAGTACTTGGCTGCGACACTTGGAATCAATATTCTTGGGTCGTAACTAGTTTTTCTTTCTCTCTCACTCTTTCTCATTCTTTCCTTCTCACTCTCTCTCACATACTCTCTCTCTCTCTCACACACACACACACACACACACGTGTGCGCGCGCACACTCTCTTGTTTCTTTACTATGAAGACTGCTAGATGGTCTTTGGAATATAATGGTGCTACGTGCTTTTTTTTTTTTTGCATTCTGGTTCCCATTGCTATAAAACATCAGATTTTTCGAGCAAGCCAACAATTCTCTAGGTAATTCAACTCTGCTCACAATCTATGATGCCTGTATTGTATCTTTCCAGTTTAGGGGCGATCAGATTTAGCCAGGTTGGCTAATATCAGCGGCGTCGGATGATATTGCAACATGTCAACCCTTGTTGCGTTATTTTATGTGCAAATTTTGTACGGGTTTATCTAATGGGGATCGAACTCACTCCTCTGTTCTAATGGTCACACAGACAGGTCTCGCTAAACATAATTCCACGTCTATCATGAGATAGATAGATAGATAGATAGATAGATAGATAGATAGATAGATAGATATGAAAAAAACTTAGATAGATAGATAGATAGATACGAAAAAACTGAGATAGATAGATAGATAGATAGATAGATAGATAGATAGATAGATAGATACGAAAAAAACTGAGATAGATAGATAGATAGATAGATAGATAGATAGATAGATAGATAGATAGATTCCAAATAAAACATTTTATGTCTAATATGTGTTTCGTTAAAAAAATCTGTTAAAATATGTTTCCTTATATTTATGTTTGTATTTGCCTTTTGTATGTAAACATTTATATATATGGGTGTGTGGGTGTGTGTGTATATGCAGATAGATAAATTGTGCGTGTATATATTAACAAAAAATAACAACTTAGGGGCTGTGCTTTCATGCCTTCAGCGATAATCAGTGTTGATTTCTATTTCAATAACTTTTTTAATCTACAAATACTTTATCCACGCTAGCGAGCTCTCCATCCCCATAAATACAGCAAATTTTAACCAATATAATTATATGTGTATATCTACATATCTAGTTATCTATGTAGATAGATAGATAGATAGATAGATAGATAGATAGATATGAACAGACTGAGACAGATAGATAGATATGAACAGACTGAGATAGATAGATAGATAGATAGATAGATAGATAGATAGATAGATAGATAGATATAAAAAAACTGAGATAGACAGACAGATAGATAGATAGATAATGGGATATTTTCATGCTAGTCATTGAATATAGACAAATAAACCTCGATATAAAGTCTGGAGTCGTGCGAGGGCACTGGTTAAGTTTGAATGTTGAGAATATTCGTTCTTCTATCTCGGTGGGTGTTCCACCTATGATGTGGCCTTAAGCCAAAGTGCTTTCGTCCAACGAAATCTCTCCTGCCATGAGGCGTACGCGGCTTGAGTTAGAGATATTTAGGCTTGAGGAACATCCACGTATCAGTTCAATCGAATACAATCGATTCCAATCACAGTCTATCGAACACTGTTTTTAGATGTATGCGTTGTACAATAGTAGCAAGGGGATTTTAGAAGTCTCTGAGTGTAAATTCGTACACTTTCTAAAACAAATTTCCTTATAATCCTGTCCAAGAAAACACAGAAATATATATATATATATATATATATATATATATATATATATATATATATATATATATATATATATAATATATAAATGAAACAATACATAATAAGAATTAAGTAAACAGAACATAACGATTGAAAATGCATTTAAATTTTTGAAGATTAAATGGCTTCTGATAGAGCTGTTGTCGGAGGTGTAACGTAAGTCGTCGAGATAGGTATGTAGTAGTGCGACCAATGTAACTATGAGTTCGGTTTGATCAGGAACACAGTTACTTAAGGGCATTTGAACTTACTTGAATACGTTTCCTATTATTCTTATGATATTTTTTATCCATTTCCTTGCAAGCAAGGAAATAAAGCCACTGAGAAGCGAGGTGGTTGTAAAGAATATGCACGATTGAGAATACATTTAAATTTTTGAAGATCAAAGTTGACTGTAGCAAGAAACCGGCATGGAGTTTCACAATCGGGAAGTGAAGAGAAGAAACGTTTAGTATAGAACATGCGGTTTCATTTGGCTACATTTACGTATATAGATATTTATTAAAATCCAGTATATATATATATATATATATATATATATATATATATATATATATATATATATATATAAACTAAAAGCCAGGCAAACCTACGTACTACCCAGATTTCACCTTAAATGAATCTTTTAACCTGAAGATCCGTTTAGTGAAACCTAGTTAGGTTTGACTGGCTCCTTAGATTACTTTTAGGTTATAGCTCTACTTAGTGTATTGAGCACTTTATGTAGTTATCTTTTACCCTTTTTACTCGTTTTTTTTTTTGTTTTAGGTGGGTGGCTTGTAGCTTAAGCACTTGACGATTGTTTTCGCCTTTG